CTTTACACTTTTCTCTATCCAGGGCTAGCCTCTTGATTTTATTCCAAGTCTTCCCACTTTTCTGTACATTCCACGTCTGATACAAAACACATAATCAACGCTTTTTAGTATTGTGTTCTTGCACAAACTATTACCCGGTTATGTGTATCACTCTGTTATATGTGAAGGGTGCTGACAAAATGAGTTACTTCTCAGATTCGAGTCCTATGGAAACAGATGCATCACGCTTAGAGGTGAAGTTTTGACAATGTATAAGTATGACATAATAAAAGGCATATTATGATTAAAGAATGCGGCATCAATAGAAAATCTACAAATTTGACACTAGGTGTAAATTTTTGGCCAATATCTCCATTTGTGGATTGCGAGAAGTAACTCATTTTGTCAGCCCACCTCACATATTATACGTGTGGGCACAGAGCAGTAATGGACAGGTGACGACACGGTTTTGGTTTGATGGAGGCTTTACAGCTTTGGCAACACTTTAGGTATACAAGTGGCGAAGACCAGAGTTACAAGAGAGTATAAAAGACGGAAGGGAGCAAAGGACGACAGTAAACAGTGAAAAAAGAAATAAACCACACCCCAGCGCCCACCAACCGTCCACACCGTTACAATGATTACGTGAAAACAGATTGTAATTATAATTGTAGGTATTTTACTCCCCGAGTGACACAGTTTAGATAATTTCCGAGGCAGGCTGCTTTGGCTCTTCACGAGAGGGTCACACCGTCCCGGCAAACAGACGGAGAAACTTCATGACAATTTTCCCCACAAGGGAACCGAACTCGCGTCTTTTATGTGCATTGGTGAAGACCCTAACCCCTACACCACAGACATCGATTTGAGAAGAATGTGGCTGCCAATATGACCCAAATCTGAGCAATACCTCTTTTTGTTCATTTTACAACACTTGTAAAGATCAACAGGACATGGAAATCTTAGTAGGTATAGTCTAGATAAGTTAAGTTTTAGTAAGAGTTTTACGGCACTTGCAGTTCACAATAAGGTCAAACAAGTGCCGAAGATTAGAGGTGTTACAAGAGAGTAACAAACACATAGGAGGGGAGAAAGGACGACAGATGTTTGATAGGAAAGAAGAAGCAAACCACACCAGAACACCCGCCAACCACCCACATAGTCTAGTTTTTAGTCTTAGCAAGAGTGTTTATGAGCTAGCAACACAGTAAGGTCAAATGAGTGCCGAGAACTATAGGTGTTACTAGAGAGCACCATACACAAAACAAGTTGGAGGAGATATAGGCTCCTTTGCCCCCTCCTCTGGGCTCCTGACTCTTTCTGCAGCCTTTCTACTGCTACTCCTTGGCTCCTCCTTACTGCTGTCTTTCTGCCACACCCCTGATCTTCTGGTAGGAAAGATCTACACCTAGCCTTTTCGGACAAGGGCGAAAAATCTCGGAGGGCCCGTGTGCAAGTTGCGCACGTTAAAGATCCCTTGGTGGTCTAAAATCGATAAGAGTAGGTTTCGGCCGCCACCCGGGCAAAATTCAAAATTTCCTACCAACTGAAAATATTAGGGGTGTCCAGCGCGCTCATATGACCTATGCAGTTGCGAGCGCTGTAAAACACTTTACAAAAAAAAAGAGATAGGCACCATAAAACTGATTGATAGGAAAGAAGAATAAGGAGAAAACCACACCAGAGCGCCGAGCAACCACTCATAATCTTCCCAGGCACATTTGGCGATACATTGTGGAGCTTTCAATGATACACTTTTTTTTACAGCGCTCCAAAGACTATTTGCAGCTGGGTTTTTTTTTTTTTCATTTTGAGAAAAGAGAGGTACACTTACAGACATGGCTTTTTATTGTAGGGATTAAAGGCAAGATTGCTTGACAGAAACAACAGAGGAGAAAAAAAAGGACACATCATTGACACCCTCAAACCACCGCTCTAAACCATTTTGACGGGTAATAAAGCAAGAAGTAATCTGAACGAAAGAATTACTGAACTGTTGTTTTGAAAAAAAAAAAAAAAAAAAAAAAGCAGGTCTTCCAAATGCTTATAAAAATGAAAAACCCCCCCACACCAATCAGCAACGAAGAACAGGTGCATGCTATGTTATGGGTTGTTTTTCTTTAATGTGAGTGTACTTTACCCCCCCCCCCCCCCCCGGCACACAGAGAGAAGTGTGTTTTTTTTGGTTTTAGTAAGAGTTTTACGGCACTTGCAACACAATAAGGTCATATAAGTGCCGAAGATTAGAGGTGTTACAAGAGAGTAACAAACACAAAAAAGAAGGAGGAGAGATCAGGACGATAGACATTTGATAAGAAAGAAGGAGTAAACCACAGCAGAGCACCCGGCAACCACCCAATGTGTGTAGGCTCAGCCCCACCCCCCCCCCTCCCCCAATTCGACGCAATTAAGATTATTCAGGAGGAGGACTTTGACCTTGCCTGTCAGAGCCAACCCCAGCTGGGAGGGATACAAAGTCCCAGCAGAAAGACCAAGATACTCGATGAAAATTCTCCTCACATGAGAATGGAACCCGGGTCTTCTGTGTGAGATGACAGACGCCGGTCATATGGGTTTAACACCTCTATTAGCACTTCAAAACTCCCAGCACACTACCATTGAGCTAATAGCACCCGTACCCTCACAGTATAGGAAAAAAGGAAAGTTTTAGTTAGAGTTTTATGGCACTTGAAACACAATAAGGTCATATAAGTGCCGAAGATAAGAGGTGTTACAAGAGAGTAACAAATACACAAAAAAGAAGGAGGGGAGATCAGGACGATAGATGTTTGATAGGAAAGAAGGAATTAATCACAGCATAGCACCCGCCAACCACCCAATGTGTATAGGCTTAGCACCCTCCCCCCCACCCCAATTCGACACAATTAAGATTATTCAGGTGGAGGACTTTGACCTTGCCTGTCAGAGCCAACCCCAGCTGGGAGGGATACAAAGTCCCAGCAGAAAGACCGAGATACACGATGAAAATTATCTTCACATGAGAATCGACCTCGGCACCCAGGAAATAGCGGGTCACAAGAGTGTGACAAACATACAAAAGAAGTAGAGGAAAATGACGATAGTAAGGATTAGGAAAGAAAAAGCAGCAGTTCCCTGTTGAAGTTCACGCACAGTTATGAGCGTGACATTATTGAATCAGCCCATTTACAATTCTACAGTGAATAAGAACGATTTGTCCCCCCCTTTGGGAATGGCCTAAAGACACTTCAGTCAGTGCCACCGCCCCGGGGTGGGGGGGGGGGGGGG